AAAATATAACTTTTTACCAAAAATGACAAAAATATTCACCAAAATTAGAGAATTGAAGACATCATCACAAAATGAACAAATCTGAGAGAAATCCACATGTAGTACCTATATATGTAATATCAAAGCAATCGGACTTGTGGTTTTTAACAAGAAGTCGAAAATATCACTTTTTACCAAAAATGATAAAAATATTCACCAAAATTAGAGAATTAAAGATATCATTACAAAATGAACAAATCTGAGAGAGGTCCACATGTAGTACCTATATATGTAATATCAAAGCAATTGCACTTGCATTTTTTAACAAGAAGTCGAAAATATCACTTTTTACCAAAAATGACAAAAATATTCACCAAAATTAGAGAATTGAAGATATCAACATGAAATGAACAAACCTAAGAGCAGTCTACCCAAGGTACATATACACCAAGTATCAAAGCATTCAGGCTTGTAGTTTTCAAGAAGAAGTCGAAAAAGTAAAACATTGACACGGACGACGGACAATCACTCATATGATAAGCTCCGCTCGACAAAGTCGACAGCGGAGCTAAAAAAAAATTAATTAAGAACTTTATTTTTTTTTAGACCAAGAGTACATATAATGTAGCTGAAATGTACATTTAAGAAAATATATTAGTTACCACTAGATGGCGCTTTTTACAAAGACAAGTCAGATTTGGTTAAGATCTCAGCACAGCATACAACCAAAAGATAAACGAGTCTGAGACTAGAAGAAGTGAATGAAATATTTAGTTAATTACTCCCTAGACAGTGCTTACAGGCAGGTCATTTCTCTATGATTTAATGACCTGCTCTAGCTGATATCATACAAATACTTGGCATTCTGTTCAGGGGAATGACTTTGAGAAAGAATTCCAGGAAAATAGGCAGACTGTCTGGAAAATTTTTCAGCATGACACACTGTACTTGTCAATATTGTGTTTGATTCTCTCAAAAAAATTATAACAGGATGGTACCATATATCAAGTATAAACTAGGTTTTATTTTTGCTTTATTTTCGCAATAAATACTGTAAAATACTTTGAAATAGCTATATACTATCTTAGCAGTTTTGACTCAATGCATGAATTAACTGAATCTTAATTTAGCTAAAGTGCCAATAATCTTACTGTGAGAATATACTCTATTTTCTAATTAGCGATATCTTAATTTAGCGAAATTACAGATTAGCTAAATTAGCTAAAATAACGTGCTAGCTAAAAAGACATGTTTTACAGTAATTGCTACATGAAAACCCACAGAATACACTTCATTTCATGAAAGAGTTTTTTTTTTTTTTATATAAAAAATAATTACCTGGGTATAAAAGTTTTTTAAAATTTCAAATGACACTTAAAAACAAGTTAATCTATCACTTGGAGAATACATACTGCCACAAAGATTCATGGGTAAAGAGTGTTACAAAATGGCTACTATAGATGAATGAAAGTGACTTTGAATTCGCAGGAAAGTTGAAGGTCTTGCAAGGTAAAAGTTTCATATTAAATATTTTATAAATTTTCATGAAAAAATATTCATGCTTTCATAAAACAGTGTACACAAAGTTAATAGAATGTATTGTTGCCATCACAACCAGTGAATATCTCTGCAATACATTGTACAGTGGACAATATCCACACTGCGCTTTACTGTTGCTAGATTGTGCACTTGAAATACCTAATATCAGGTCAATAACCTTGACTTTGAATATAATGCATGTATTTCATTCAATTTTGCTGTAGTAGCGTACACAAGGTAAATCTTTAAAATTATTCAATTTTTAATAAAACTACCGGTACTCGTTAATGGTAGTGTACATAGTATAGCCTATACATCAACACTTTGCTAATTTTTATGCATTTTTCCTCCAATTTCTTCGATAATTTTGGACAAAATGGATAAGTAATTAGTGATATGGTACTACCGGTACGATTAAATGTTAGACTTCGACATCCAGGTATGGCATCCACTACTGGATAGCTTTAGGGAAGATATCTTGTAGCGTGTATGTGCATTCTGTTTATTCCTAACAAGTCAATGAATTCCTAAAGGCAGATTAATATTAATTCAATGACTTCTTGTATACTGAATGGTGAGTGAACGACTTCTTGCATTAAAAATGGCAAGTCAATGAATTCTTGTACACTGAACAGTAAGTCAATGACTTCTTGTATACTGAATGGTAAGTCAATGACTTCGTGTATACTGAATGGTAAGTCAATGACTTCTTGTATACTGAATGGTAAGTCAATGACTTCGTGTATACTGAATGGTAAGTCAATGACTTCTTGTATACTGAATGATAATTCAATGACTTCTTGTACACTGAATGGCAAGTCAATAACTTCTTGTATACTGAATTACAAGTCAATGACTTCTTATATACTGAACAACAAGTCAATGAATTATTGTATACTGAATGGTAAGTCGATGAATTCTTATATACTGAAAAACAGGTCAATGACATCTTGTATACTGAATGGTAAGTCAATGACTTCTTGTATACTGAATGACAAGTCAGTGACTTGTATACTGAATGACAAGTCAATGACTTCTTGTATACTGAATGGCCAGTCAGTGACTTGTCTACTGAATGACAAGTCAGTGACGACTTGTATACTGAATGACAAGTCACTGACTTATTATATACTTAACGACAAGTCAATGACTTCTTGTATACTGAATGACAAGTCAGTGACTTGTATACTAAATGACCAGTCAGTGACTTGTCTACTGAATGACAAGTCAGTGACGACTTGTATACTGAATGACAAGTCAGTGACTTATTATATACTTAACGACAAGTCAATGACTTCTTGTATACTGAATGGTAAATCAATGAATTCTTGTATACTGAATGTCAAGTCATTGATTCAATGTATACTGAATGGCAAGTCAATGGCTTCTTGTATACTGAATGACAAGTCAATGACTTCTTATATACTGAATGACAAGTCAATGACTCCTTGTACACTGAACGACAAGTCAATGAATTCTTGTATACTGAATGGTAAGTCAATGACTTTTTGTATACTGATGATAAGTCAACGACTCCTTGTATACTGAATGGCAAGTCAATGACTTCTTGTATACTGAACAACAAGTCAATGATTTCTTGTACACTGATCGACAAGTCAATGACTTCTTGTATACTGAACAGTAAGTCATTGACTTCTTGTATACTGAACGACAAGTCAATGAATTCTTGTATACTAAATGGTAAGTCAATGACTTCTTGTATACTGAACGATAAGTCAATGATTCCCTGTATACTGAACGACAAGTCAATGACTTCTTGTCAATGAATTCTTGTACACTGAATGACAAGTCAATGACTTCTTGTATACCGAACAATAAGTCATCGACTTCTTGTATACTGAACAACAAGTCAATGAATTCTTGTATACTGAATAGTAAGTCAATGACTTTTTGTATACTGATGATAAGTCCATGACTCCTTGTATACTGAATGGCAAGTCAATGACTTCTTGTATACTGAACGACAAGTCAATGATTTCTTGTACACTGAACGACAAGTCAATGACTTCTTGTATACTGAACAATAAGTCATTGACTTCTTGTATACTGAACGACAAGTCAATGAATTCTTGTATACTAAATGGTAAGTCAATGACTTCTTGTATACTGAACGACAAGTCAATGACTCCTTGTATACTGAACGGCAAGTCAATGACTTCTTGTCAATGAATTCGTGTACACTGAATGGCAAGTCAATGACTTCTTGTATACTGAACGACAAGTCAATGATTTCTTGTATACTGAACGACAAGTCAATGACTTCTTATATACTGAGCGGCAAGTCAATGACTTTGTGTACACTGTTTGACAAGTTGATTACTTCCTGTAAACAAAGCCTTTACATATAATTGACCTGTCTTAGTTATGACCCAGCCAAAAATCATGTAATCTGAAGCCTAGAACAAATCTATCTTGGTTGCCAAAAATGACATTCCCAGAGACTCTTAATTGAACTTAAATAACCTGTTGTACACTGCCACTATGAGTCATACACCCCATACATATTCCATGCAGCGCAATGAGTCAACGCTGTGAATAATGTAAACAATTATGCCTATGCTAGGGGGCACAATTTCCAAAACTTCCTTGGTTTACTTGCGCACCTATTTTTTTCACAGGAAGTTTGATTCAGCACTGTAGGAATTTATTAACAAGCAGCCTATTGGCTGAGATAGCTCCGCTGTTAGCAATGCACATTTCAATTAAAGAACTGAAGACATCATTAGAAAATGAACAATATGTATAGTATCAAAGCAATCGGACTTACAGTTTTAACAAGAAGTCGAAAATATCACTTTCTACCAAAAATTACAAAAATATTCACCAAAATTAGAGAAGTGAAGATATCATCACGAAATGAACAAATCTGAGAAAGGTCTACATGTAGTATCTATATATGTAATATCAAAGCAATTGAACTATTGGTTTTTAACAAGAAGTCAAAAATATCACTTTTTACCAAAAATATTCACCAAAATTAGAGAATTGAAGATATCATCATGAAATGAACAAATCTGAGAGAGGTCCACATGTAGTACCTATATATGTAGTATCAAAGCAATTGGACTTGCGGGTTTTAACAAGAAGTCGAAAATATCACTTTTTACCAAAAATGACAAAAATATTCACCAAAATTAGAGAATTAAAGATATCATTACAAAATGAACAAATCTGAGAGAGGTCCACATGTAGTACCTATATATGTAATATCAAAGCAATTGCACCTGCGGTTTTTAACAAGAAGTCGAAAATATAACTTTTTACCAAAAATGACAAAAATATTCACCAAAATTAGAGAATTGAAGATACAGTATATCAACATGAAATGAACAAACCTAAGAGAGAGGTCTACCCAAGGTACATATACACCAAGTATCAAAGCATTCAGGCTTGTAGTTTTTAAGAAGAAGTCGAAAAAGTAAAACATTGACATGGATGACGACGGACGACGGCGAACAATCACTCATATGATAAGCTCCGCTCGACAAAGTCGACAGCGGAGCTAAAAATGTATGTTCTGTATTTGACTTTAATTATTAGCATGACGTATGTTTTTGTTAATCACTGAGATGTGTCTATGTCGCAATATTTTAATTATTCAAACAGAATATATTAAATGCATTTTTTTTTTGCTTTTAAAGAGACACTACTAATAAAAGAAATACTGTATTATTCGCGTAAACCATGGTGCAATTTGTCAATGATTCATACATGAGAGCATTGGGGATTATTTGTTTATTAAAATCTCACTTCCTGTTTGTTTTTAAGAAATACTAATAACGGAAATTATAATCTACCCCTAAGATAGATCCAATACATACAATTTAAAGGAAGCAAGCCATTCTGGAAGCATTACACATACACCTGACACCTTGTACCAACGCGTTTGTTACAAACGCTTTGTGTGTCTCCTGAGATCGCAGTACGAAATCTGAAATGTTATTATTGACTTTTCCTTCTTCGTTATGTTTTGTATTTTACTAAGACTTCTCTCCCCATGAATAGCTTCTGAATGCAGATTTACAAGCCTCCAGGTTAATGAGCTTAGAAAAACAGTAAAAAAACAATCAGATACAAGCTCCAGAGACATTATAACCTAGGATGACATTCCAATTGTACACCAATGAGATATCAGACTACAGTGAAAACACCTCCAGCTGTTTTAAGTGCAGTGAGAGAGCTATTGACCTTGTCAAAACACACATTGCTTTAAAGGTTTTGCACCACAATTTGATAATACATCTGGTCTGGTCACGTAGACACTGACTGACTTGCCTTCCAGTGAACGTATGCATACTAGTTTGTCAGGCGACGAATTACAAAAACTTTTGCTGTAAATTTTTTATGAAATAAAATTGAAAAATTAGAAGACACGTTTTAATTATACGTCATAATTGATAAATGTATCATATCAATAATAATAATAATAATAACTTTATTGCATCCTTAGAAGTACAAATGTTCTATTGGTTTACAGCAATAAATATAATAAGTGATTAAAATAATATCAAAGTATGATAACGTAAAAAAATAGAAAAAAAAGAGTCAAGGTATTATATCCAAAGAAAGCTCATTTCTTAAAATGAATGATTTATGTAAAAATTCCCCTAAAAGTTTTATTATATTATGATATGATGTTGAGGTAATCTCAGCATGTATTGTTATGCGTTCAGTCATTTGTGTTAGGTCCACGAAGTGAGCAACATGTTTTGAAGTATGCTCTGTTAACAAGGCCAGACACACTTATTGGTTTGCGACTTTACTTTGATATTATCTCGCTGTTCTTTAAGACGGCACACACACATGCAAAGTTTATGTAGATTTTCTTCAAATCTGGCTGAAAATTTGTTTTACTTCCGTGAATTAGTCATTTGAATAACTTAGTGGAATATTAAATACCAATAATAAGTGGAAAATTAAATACCATTTCTTTTTTCACATAATCATACAATGTACTCATGGGGGTCTATAAAATATTTACGGTGGAATGGATCGAAACATTGTAATACTAGTATAGTCCTCGGAACATTGTCAGTGTTAAAGAACTTAGCTTAATCAATGGTTGGAAATTAACATCACTCAATTGTATATCAAAACTTCCATTATATTTGACAAGGGCACCTGACTTTGAATTGACGCTTTTAAGCTTGTGATCAAATATGAATTTTACTTATTTACCATAGAATGTATGTAAGATTTTAATAATTCAGCATTTTCATAATTCATGTGATTTTCAGACTTAATTTTGAATCACATTTGAAAATGTCTGTATCCAGAAGCATTGGTTTATTTGGACTAAAGTGCCAAAGAACAAACAAATTTTAAAATATTCAAGGCATTATCACCACCATAATGTTAATTTCCTGAGCATATGTAAACAGTTAGAACATAGATTGCTGACTTGCAAAATTTTACTCGCCACTTATCTGACATCATCTGACATTGTTACAGAGCAGTCACTCTGTTATAAATAAAGTTATTAAATTAACTAAACTCATTTTTTTTTTTTTCACAATTGTCAGATCTGGCTGGCATTCATCACTGCACTCATCCATGTTCCAGGGCTTTGGCATTCTATGTTACACTCATCCATGTTCCAGGGCTGTGGCAAATTCTATGTTACACTCAGCCATGTTCCAGGGCTGT